TACCAACGAAAAGTGGGATTGACCGTAACATTATAACGCACCCACGGCTGATAGGGCGAGCATGTTTGGTGTGACGGGGATTCAGATGTGAATAGAGCATCATTATATTTCACAATTCGTTCTCAGTTTTGATATTTTTTTAGAAGCTATTTTCCATCTGTTAATTTTGCTCAGCTACGGGTCTAACAAAAGTCAATAAATGATACAAATGTAGCGTTTCCTTATTTGATAAAATCCTTAACTTTTTAATTTTTTGGCGCAAGTTATAAAATAGGCTATCTGTGCTCTTGTCTATGATGGGGAATCGTTCCCCTGATTTTAACATTTTAAATTCGTAAATTTACCGCTGACCCACTGACGACAAATTCTATAATTTGAGGATATATATATTTATTTATTCATTATTGCATATAGATCTGATTTGTTCTGTCCAAGTATGTTTTATATGTCCTCCAATACGCTTTTGTTCGCTTGTCTTTCTTTTAGCGCAAAGCTGCGCAATAAATTACCTACGCTATGTCCGCAGTGGTAATCGAACCCCGAATTTTAGTATTACAAGTTCTGAATTTTATCGTTGAGCCACCTGAGGACCCTTCATATAACCCAAGGAACAACATTTTCGCACACAAAAACAACATATATTAAAGTTTTTCTTGAATTAGGGCCTTCAAAACGTTCATTTACTTGGAATAGGTACAATAATAAAACTAAGATTTTGTTAATTAAATATTGGCATAATTTTATGATTTGGCTGAAAATTAAAGTAATTGTTTCCATCTTCCAATTAGAATTTTTTTCCATGAGTTGAATTTAATAAAGAGCTACATTTTGCAGTCAGTCAAAATTTTAAAATACGAAGAAATGGTTCAAACTACTGTAAGGAAAAAAATATATATAATTTTCATTTTGCCCAAACGACTTTCGTTGTATCAATTGTTAACCGTATAATTTTCTCCATTACAGAGATTTTAACCTTTTTAACCTTTAACCCTTTTTATCTGCATTTCGTAATATTTCATCGCAATTTTTCCACAGTTTGAACCAATCTGAGGGTCGCGGGTTCGAATCACCGTCACACCAAACATGCTCGCCCTATCAGCCGTGGATGCGTTATAATGTTACGGTCAATCCCACTTTTCGTTGGTAAAAGAGTAGCCCAAGAGTTGGCGGTGGGTGGTGATGACTAGCTGCCTTCCCTCTAGTCTTACACTGCTAAATTAGGGACGGCTAGAGCAGATAGCCCACGTGTAGCTTTGTGCGAAATTCAAAACAAATAAACAAACAAACACAGTTTGAAATAAAGTTTAAGCTCTTATTTGTAAATAGATAACTTTTCAGTTTGTCTCAATTGATTCCTGATGGATTGCTAAATGCGTCGTTTTTTTTATAAGGATTGCCTATAAATGTATAATTCCTTACATTTATGTTCAAAGTTAAATCAACCATACAATATAAACGAGTGCAAATATTTACTGCTGGACAATGTTATATTTACCTAAATTTAGCCGAAATGTACCTAGTTCAACTTGGTACTAACTTCGTCTATGAAGGTGGTTTCAGGCCCGGCATTGGTTAAGGCGCTCGACTCCTAATCTGAGGGTCGCGGGTTCGA